AAAATATTTATCCGAGTATAGTACTACCCCCCAACTTTGTGCATGATTTTATGGATTAAATTTTACGTATTATACTTGAATAAATACGGTAGATTAAAAGTATTTTTGTTTTTATTATTAATAACATTATTAAAAATGTTTTTCTGCCTGAAACAGTGCTTCTGGGAAAAAAGCGCAGAAATGATTACCTGTCAATCAAACTGTGAACGCATTAGGAATGCATCATACTCAGAGTTAGCAGCAGCTCAGCAGGTAAACCGTGGCTAACGATGGTAAACAGAGGCTAACGATGGTAAACAGAGGCTAACGATGGTAAACAGAGGCTAACGATGGTAAACCATGGCTAACGATGGTAAACCGAGGCTAACGATGGTAAACTGTGGCTAACGATGGTAAACTGTGGCTAACGATGGTAAACCGAGGCTAACGAAGTAAACTGTGGCTAACGATGGTAAACTGAGGCTAACAACGCAATAAAAGCTTCGGTCTTTAGCGAGGTTGAACGGCTGCTTGTCATCATTTCCATCGTTAAATTGCTTTAGATCTGCATCCTCTCTCGCAATTTTATTGGATTTGTCCAAAGCCTCAGCAATGATTTAAGTCCTGATGCGTTCTTGAACGCTAGCTTGTTGTTGTTAGCATTTTTAGCAGCACAGACTCTGTGCTGCGTTCAGGAGATAACGGACATTACATGTTCTCAAACTGGGAGTAGCTGTTCTGACCTTTTTTTTGTTTTTAATTATAAAGTTTGTGTGTAACATACATGGTTAATTGGTAAAATAATATTATACTGGTCGGACTTCCGGAAGCAAATGGAGTAGACGGGTTCGTCAGAGCCTCTCTCCCACCTTAGTTTCAAAATATTCCGTTCAAAACTCGTTAATCCGCTCATGGTTTCGATAAAATAATTTATGAACGGGAGGAGAAACATGTCGAGCCATAAAAAATCGACAAAAATGCCTAAAGCTCAGGATTAAAGTGCCCTGGTAGCTAAGGCTAACACATGCCCGAATCAAGCTAACGACAACGTGGCTAGCTCGGACGCTGAGAGCACTGGAACAAATACGGATTCGGAAGGAATACTTAAGACTATCGATTATTTGAAGACTGCCTTAAAGGGGGATAATGCAAAGGTACAACAAAATATTGACCATCTGGGACATGAGATCAACAGTAAGCTGGACAATATTGCCACTGAAGTACAGGGCCTGGCAGAGTGGGTTGATGAGGCGGAGGCCCGCGTTCATCAAGTGGAGATCTGGGCAAAGCAGGCAACGGAGGCGCTGTGCTTCTGCATCGAACAATAGAGGAAGGCACAGCTTAAAGTGCTTGATTTAGAGTCCCGTTCCAGAAGAAACAATGTGCGTGTATTTGGGGTGCCAGAAGGTCAGGAGGGGAACTCCACTACACAGTATATTGAGACGCTTTTGAGAAATCAGCTACAACTACCGGAGGACCTGGACTTAAAAATACAGCGCACACATCGCACTCTGGCAAGTAAACCCCTTCCCGACTCACCACCRAGGGCTATTATTGTCAACTTTCTGGAATTCTCTACAAAAGAAAAGATCTTAAGAGAAGTGTGGAAAAAAGGCAAGATCCAGGTGGGCTCTTCAAATATTCACTTCGACCACGATTATGCACCTGAGATAGTGAAGAAGTGCAGAGAATATAACGCTATCAAGAAAGCACTCAAAGTGAAAGGCATCCGCTTCCAAACACCATTTACCAACATAAGGATCCACTGGGAATCAGGAACTCGCACATATTCCAGCGCTCGGGAAGCCTAAAACGAGCTGAAGAGACGCGGAATCCAGGGTGAG